ACTATTTGAAAATCTGGAATCTGACGGTGCAAAAAAATCAAAATATTGAGAAAATCGCCTTTAAAGTTGTCCAAATGAAGTTCTTAGCAATGCATATTACTAATCAAAAATTAAGTTTTGATATATTTACGGTAGTAAATTTACAAAATATCTTCATGGAACATGATCTTTACTTAATATCCTAATAATTTTAGAAATAAAAGAAAAATTTATAATTTTGACTCATACAATAATTTTTGGGCTATTGCTAAAAATATACCCAAGACGGGTTTTGTGGTCCAGGCTCACAAATGTGCTGAAAATGTACTCATCCACAGGCCAGCCAAGATGCAGATGAGTTTGTTTCTTCATCGGAACAGATTTGGATAAATTTAGCGTTATATCACCTGCTCACCAATGCATCCTCTGCAGTGAATGGGTGCCGTCATTTTAACTTTAAACCATTGCTTCTGGCCAAAATATGAGTCTATAATCCATAAAAACGCTTCCTGGAGAAAACAGTATTTTAGATAGAGGGCTCATATTTTAACTGGAAGCAACAGTTTAAAGTTAAACTGATTCATCACCAAGACGTTTTTATTCCAAGCACACAGCTTTTTGTTTCACAAGACATTCTGACAGCACCCATTCACTGCAGATGATCCATTGGTAAGCAAGTGATGTAATGCTAAATTTCTCCAAATCTGTTCTTATGAAGAAACAAACTCATCTCCATCTCGGATGGCCTGAGGTTGAGTATTTCTTTAATGCTGCAGTATTGCTCCAACTCTGTATCTCGGTGTTGTCTGTGCATGCGTGTACATTAGTGTTTGCCCCAGCTGTTGGGAATAATACCTGCAAGGCCAGCTTCTGGGACGCCCGCTACGGTGGGCTTTGTCGTAGACACACAGCACGCACTGACACTGCAGCTCAACAGTACCTCTGCACACTTGGAGCCATGCAAGTGAGTTATGTATCGATACGTGACAGTTTTAGACCAAGACATCTTCACCTTGTTTATTTCCTTGGGCAATTGCTATCAAGGAAAGGCATCATTGTCAGACAATTGATTTGTTGTATCAGAGTTCACTTCCACTTTGGGGAGCAGGGGAACTATTCTCTGTGGGTCAAGAACCTGAATGAGCCGTCACGGGTCAGCTGCTCTATGATCACTGATTCTGAGCCCATTAACAGCTACTTGCGTGAGTCAACCTTACATCTGCACACTGCAATTCAGCATTTTTAATTTTTTTTGTATGTTAAATTTGTTAAAAGTTACATTTTGTTTATAAAGCATCGTTTAATCCTGGAGGAAAAAAACAACAACAATGGGTAAATAATGTATTAAACTAAATTGAGCTGGGTGACTTTTTTTTTTCTTTTTGTTTTTCCAGCTATTTTGTTTGCCTTTCTGGTATTTGCTTTTTTGGCTGCATTATCTGCTATCTGGAACACAGTTAAAAGGTAAAGACCCCTTTAAATATCTTTTTGACCATGTACTGATGACATTTAAACAAGCTAGAACAGCTTGTTGCAGCTGTTTTATTTAGAAAGCTTGTAAAATTGAGTTCTTCCACTTTTAAGGCTGGATGTGGTGACAAATCTACTTCTTTGCTTGGGGAGCACAGTGGAACCATTAAGATGCCGTCTTTCATGTGAAGTCTATCAAGACCAATGCCAGGTCTCATTCTGCATGTGCTACGCCAGTGTGATTTCGTTGACATGTGCTAGACCGGCCTTCCTGCAGTCCAGATCTGACTCCTATTGAAAATGTTTGACCAGTCATGAAAAGGAGAATTGGACAACAATGATCACAGACTGCTGAGCATCTGAAGTCTTGTATCAAGCGAGTTTGGACAAAAAATTTGCTTGCAAAGCTTTAACAATTAGTATCATCAATTCTCAATCGATTAAACATTGTAATTAAAAGGAAAGTGGATGTGACACAGTGCTAAATATGCCTCTTTCCCAACTTTTTTTTAACCTTGTTTTCTGCTGTGCAGCTGAAGAAAGTGTCTGTAGCAATGCTATTAGGTTTAAATAGGTTGTGACACCTCTGTGAGGTTTTAGAGAGCCTGTAAAAAATGAACATGGAAGGTGTAATTCACATAGAATTAAAATTCTGTCATCATTTTCTCAATGTCATGTTGTTCCAAACCCTTTCCTTCTTTGCTGGAACTCAAATGGAGGTGCCAGTCAAAATGTTCCCATACAATTAAAGCATACAGTGACCAGTGGCCGTCAAGCTACAAGGACAAAAAAACAAAACAAAACAAAGCAAAACAAATATATATATATATTGTGTAGTCGAAAACGACACTACCATTCAAAAGTTTGGGGTCATTAGGATTTTTAAAATGTTTTTGAAAGAACTCGTGTATGTTCACGAAGGCTGCATTTATTTGATGAAAAGTACAGTAAAAATATTGCAATATTGTGAAATATTATTACAATAACACAAAAGTGTTTTGTTTTAATGTATTTAAAATGCAATTTATTCCTGTGATAGCAAAGCTGAATTTTCAGCAGCAATTACTCCAGTCTTCAGTGTCACATGATCCTTTAGAAATCTTTCTAATCATTATTTTTTTTATTATAAATATTGAAAACAGTTGTGCTGCTTAATATTTTTGTGGAAACCATGCAGTTTAATGCATACTTGCTGAATAAAAGTATTAATTTCTTTCAAAGTAAATCGTTTATTTGATAAACACACTGGAATTTAAGTTAAGTTATTCCATAAAAATCTTGTGTAGCTCTTGAATCTCTTTCATGCCTTTGCATAAAATTGGTGTCACGTAATATGAACTGTGACGTCTTTATGGTCCAAAATTTCTCCTTTGGTGTTACACAAAAGAAAGAATATCATATGGGCTTGGAACAACATGAAGGTGAGTAAATAATGACTTTTTCATCTTTAGATGAACTAGCTCTATAATTTAGGCAAAAATGCAGTACAACAGATTTCAATACAAAGAGTGCTGTGGTTATGGCTGTATTTGAATGCTTGTGAACATTTTTGAATTTTTACATAGTATGTAAAGACAAGATATAGCATATGATTTGGATGACATTGGAAGAAAGATTGCAGACAAATGTGTGCTACACATGTTAAAGAGAAATTGGATTTCACTCAATTCTATTTGTGGATGATGCTTAATCTGTGTGTTGGAAATCATGCCAGAAAGTAGCACTTTATGAAACGGGTGTCTATTTTATCTTACTTTGTGTAACCTTCTTCTTCACAGGTTTGTGTTCATTATGGGTACGTCTGTTGGTTTGTCCCTGAGCAGTTCATTGCGCCGAGGTGTCAAACGCACTCATCTGCTGTGGAGGATCTTCTGGAGGAGCTTACAACTCTTCCTTATCGGAGTCATCATCATCAATCCGAACTACTGCAATGGACCCTGTGAGTAGTAACACATTTTCCTTTCCTTTCCCACCCCAGCTTCCTATTTCAATAGGAAACACGTCAACATAGGAAAGAAAACTGCACTTGTCTGTCAAGCCATTTCATGGGGGAGTTAATATTATAGTATGTTCAAGTTCAACATTTTAATCTAATGTCACCTTGTCAATTATTGTTTAGTAATCTGCTCACAAAATTAGATGAACATTTTATGGACTGTGGTGTAGAAGTATAAACAGTGTTAAAAATATAAATGATGATGTTTTATGCATGTGTCCATGTATCTGCACAGTGTCTTGGGATTCTCTTCGTATTCCTGGCGTATTACAGCGTCTGGGCTTCACGTATCTTGTTGTTGCTGTCTTGGATCTTGTGGTGGTCCAAGACCGACTTACCAACCTGTCAAGTGTGAGTCACGTTATCCTTCTCCACACGTAATATGACACATAATCATAAACGCACTTTATAGACATACATACTCAGCTTTATGTCCTTTACAGGCTTTTGTCTCTTTAATGATTAACAGAATATTTGATTCATCCATTTGTAAAAATATACATTGGGGACCAGATTTCTGAGACCACTGGTGAAAATGCTTTTATTTAGCATTTTTCTAATTTACACTGCCGGCCAGTTTTTGTTACGCTCACCAAGGCTGCATTTATTTGATCAATAATGCAGGAAAAACATTAATATTGTAAAATATTACTACAATTAAAATTAATTTTTCTGTTTGAATATATTTTAAAATGTAATTTATTCCAGTGATGCCAAAGCTGAATTTTCAGCATCATTGCTCCAGTCTTCAGTGTCACATGATCCTCCAGAAATTATTGTAATGTTCTGATTTGCTGCTCAAGAAACATTTCTAATTATTATTATCATCAATGTTGAAAGCAGTTTTTACCTATTCATCAAATAATCACTTTATAATGGTTTTTACAAAAATATTAGGCAGCAAAAACTGTTTTATTGAGTACCATAATAATTCAGCAATAAATCTATATAAAAATATATTAAAATAGCTCTTTTAAAATGTAACAATATTTCACAATATTACAGTTTTACTGTATTTTTCATTAAAAAAATGCAGCCTTGGTGAGCATAAGACACTTCTTTCAATAACATGAAAAGAAAATCTTAATTATTCCAAACTTTTGACCAGCAGTGTAAATATAAAATATATCATTTATAATTGATAAATGTAAAAATGTCATTGCATTTTTTATTGAATTTCAGACATTTTTATTTGTACTGTATGTCCTCCTTTTGTTTTAATGACAGCATGCACTCAAGCTGGCATTAACTCTAATTCTAATTTTCATTAACTAATTATTTTAAATAATAATAATAATTGAAATTTTCCATCATCTTGTTGTTCCCAGGAAACATGCTGGTATTCGGTGCATGATGTCTGCCTCTACTGGCCTGCGTGGGCGTTTGTGATTGCCTTAGAGACGATATGGTTGTGTTTGACCTTCCTCCTCCCAGTCCCAGGCTGCCCAACGTAAGTACAATCTTACTCATGATATGAGTGTATCATTTATTAAAGGGTTAGTTCACCCAAAAATGAAAATTGGCTTGTGTTTTACTCACCCTCGAAGCATCCTAGGTGTATATGACTTTCTTCTTTTAGACGAATCCAGTCGGAGTTATATTAAAAATTGTCCTGGCTATTCCAAGCTCTATCATTGCAGTCAGCGGGTGTTGCAGTTGAACAGTCCACAAGTTGTCAAATAAAGCTGTTAAAAATATAAATGATGATGTTTTATGCATGTGTCCATGTATCTGCACAGTGTCTTGGGATTCTCTTCGTATTCCTGGCGTATTACAGCGTCTGGGCTTCACGTATCTTGTTGTTGCTGTCTTGGATCTTGTGGTGGTCCAAGACCGACTTACCAACCTGTCAAGTGTGAGTCACGTTATCCTTCTCCACACGTAATATGACACATAATCATAAACGCACTTTATAGACATACATACTCAGCTTTATGTCCTTTACAGGCTTTTGTCTCTTTAATGATTAACAGAATATTTGATTCATCCATTTGTAAAAATATACATTGGGGACCAGATTTCTGAGACCACTGGTGAAAATGCTTTTATTTAGCATTTTTCTAATTTACACTGCCGGCCAGTTTTTGTTACGCTCACCAAGGCTGCATTTATTTGATCAATAATGCAGGAAAAACATTAATATTGTAAAATATTACTACAATTAAAATTAATTTTTCTGTTTGAATATATTTTAAAATGTAATTTATTCCAGTGATGCCAAAGCTGAATTTTCAGCATCATTGCTCCAGTCTTCAGTGTCACATGATCCTCCAGAAATTATTGTAATGTTCTGATTTGCTGCTCAAGAAACATTTCTAATTATTATTATCATCAATGTTGAAAGCAGTTTTTACTGCTTAATATTTTTGTGAAAACAGATACACTATCAATAAAAAAAAGAAAGAAAATAATACTTTTATTCAGCAAGGATGCATTAAATTGATATTTTATAAAACTGACTTTTATAATATGACAAAAAAGATTTATATTTCAAATAAATGCTATTCATTGAACTTTTACATTCATCAAAGATCCCTGAAAAAAAACAATTCATGGTTGACACAAAAATATATGAAGCAGCACAACTGTTTTCAAATGTGATATTAATTAGAAATGCTTCTTGAGCAGCAAATCAGCATATTAGAATGATTTCTGAAGGATCATGTGA